TGAGCCACTTCCACGCAAAGTTCACCCGGGAATATTCCCAGCTGTAGCGGGTCCAGGAAGGCCGGCCGTAGAGGAGGCGGGGCACTGGGTGGGCCAAGGGTGTGGGGGGGTGTCACCCTCTGGGCCTCATCCCACCTTCGGGGTTCATAAGCGCCCCAGCAGCCCCATCCTTGTCCCTCCTCCACGGACGAAAGGGGAAGGCCCGGCGCGCAGGTGGGCGCCTGAGAAGACCACCAGCCCTGCCTGACCTCCAATTCCAGGACCTCCCAGGATCTACAGACGGGCGCCTCCTGCCAGCAAGACCCGGGCAGCTCTGGGCACCAGCGCCCTCCAGCGATTTGGGGTCGTCCAGCCAAGAGGCTCAACCAGGCCTGCCTTCTAACGTGGCCCCCTGGTGCGGATGTGCCTTTGTGCCCGGGGTTCCCCAGGGACGCCCGCTGCCCCATTCACGGACCCAGCTAGGTGAGGGGGGTGTGATCTCACTGGCTCAGGGAACCTGGCCATCCACGGGGCCTGCAGACACACCGTCCGGAGTGGCTGCCCAGCTGAGGGAGCCGCGAAGCCTTCCGAGATGACTGTTGTGCCTTGGGGGGGGGGAAGAGAGGGCCAGGGCTCCCTCCCTCACATTCCGGGGAGCGTGCAAGGGGGCTGCAGAGGATCAATAAAACCGACCTGATCAAGAGTCGAAACCCGTCTCTGCGGATTAAGCAGTGGGACAGCTGAACCGTCTTCCTGAACTGAATGGAATTGGGTGGATCTAGTCGGGGGGGTGGGGAAGAAGGACGAGGGGGGGGGACAGGATAGCGGCGTTCCAGTATCTGAGGGGGGGACACCAGAGGGAGGGGGGGCACTCTATTCCCCAAAGCCCCCGAAGGAGGCAGGAGAAGCAGCAACGGGTGGAAACTCCTCAAGGAGAGAAGCAACCTGGAACTCAGGAGAAACTTCCTGACAGTCAGAACCATTAACCAGTGGAACTGCCTGCCACCAGAAGTTATAAGTGCTCCATCACCGGAGGTTTTTTAAGAAGAAACTGAGGAACCATTTGTCTGAAATGGTCTAGGGTCTCCTCCCATGGGCAGCGGGGGTTGGACCTGAAAATCCTTTCCAACTCTAGAATAGAATAGAAATGGAATGGAATGGAATGGAATAGAATAGAATAGAATAGAATAGAATAGAATAGAATAGAATAGAATAGAATAGAACAGAATGAAGAAGCGGAATGGAATAGAATAGAATAGAATAAAATACAATAGAATAGAATAGAATAGGAATATAGAATAGAACAGAATGAAGAAGACGAATGGAATGGAATGGAATAGAATAGAATAGAATTGGAATATAGAAGAGAATTGAATAGAATAGAATAGAAATTGGAAAATAGAAGAGAATTGAATAGAATAGAATCAAATAGAATAGAACATTGGAATAGAATAGAATAGAATAGAATAGAATAGAATAGAATAGAATTGCAATATAGAACAGAATAGAATAGAATTGGAATATATAGAATAGAATAGAATTGGAATATAGAATAGAATAGAATTGGAATATAGAATACAATAGAATAGAATAGAACAGAATAGAATGAAGAAGAGAATGGAATGGAATAGAATAGAATGGAATAGAACAGAATAGAATTGTAATATAGAATAGAATAGAATAAAAATAGGAATATAGAATAGAATAGAATAGAATAGAATAGAATAGAATAGAATATAATAGAATAGAATAGAATAGAAATTGGAATATAGAATAGAATGGAATGGAATAGAATAGAAATTGGAATATAGAATAGAATAAAATAGAACATTAGAATAGAATAGAATAGAATAGAATAGAATAGAATAGAATAGAATAGAATAGAATGAAGAAGAGGAATGGAATAGAATAGAATAGAATTGAATACAATAGAATAAAATACAATAGAATAGAATTGGAAAATAGAATAGAATAGGAATATAGAATAGAATTGGAATATAGAAAAGAATAGAATGAAGACGACGAATGGAATGGAATAGAATAGAATAGAATTGGAATATAGAAGAGAATCTAATAGAATAGAATAGAAATTGGAAAATAGAATCGAATAGAATAGAACATTGGAATAGAATAGAATAGAATAGAATAGAATTCTTTATTGGCCAAGCGTGATTGGACACACAAGGAATTTGCCTGGTGCATCTGCTCTCAGTGTACATAAAGAAAAAAAATACATTCATCAAGAATGATAAGATACAACACTTAGTGATAGTCATAGCATACTAAATAAGCAATCAAATCGTACTAGGAGACTAAATAAAACAACATAAATCGTAAAGATACAAGCAACAGGCTTATAGTCACAACTGGGAGGGGATGGGAGA